TACCCAATAAGTGATTGAAGAGATGGGGCATGGTGGTGCATGCCTGTAATCACAGCACTTGGAAGGCTGAGGCAAGAGGATCATTGTGAGTTAAAGGACAGCCTGGGCTAGGAGTTCAAGGCCACCATGAACTACCTAGTGAGACCCTGTCTCAAAAAACCAAAACCAAAACCAAAACCAAAACCAAAATGTGATCACAGAATGTCTGAACCTCTCAGTGCTCTGGACAGGGCTGCTCTGGCCCCTCAAGGAGGGCTTCATACCTCAAATCCAGGGCAACTCTGTGACAAGACAGATCCTCCCCATAGGCCCCTTGGGCATCTGGTGAAACCTAGTGATCCTTCTCAGAATAATTTTTAAAATGCATTAGGATACACTTTTAATGCATGCAATGAAAATAATTTAAAATACAGATGTCAAAGTACTAAAAAAATTGTGATATAGTAGCTTTGTGGTCTAATATGACTGATATGATATCTTAGGATATCTACAGTAAACTGTAGTGCACTATTGACCTATCTGTGATTTCTATTAGTGATAAAATCAGTGTCATCTACTTGCTGCCTACACTCATAATTGAAGTGCTAAATGCCATTTAGCGATTAGTGAACATAAAGATAAACTTTGGTCCATCGAAGTGTCATGGACTCCTCAGAACTCTTTTTCTCTATTAATACATGTTTACAGTACATAATGGTTACATTCATTGTGAAGAGTTGGTACATGTTCATTCTACATTCCCCAATCCTTCCCTTCCCTTCTGGCTGCATTTTTTTCTTTACCCTCCTTCCCTGTTCCCTCATCTCCCTTTTTTCCTATTATCTATCTTTCACTTTGCTCTTCATGTATATTTTGGGTTTCTCATATAAGAGAAACTATGTGATATTTAAACTTGTGTGTCAGATTTATTTCATTTAACATTATAGCCTCGAGGTGCAGCCCTTCCCTACAAATAATTCGTTTATCTTTCTTTATGGCAGAGTAGTACTCTGTTGTGTACAAATATCACATTTTCTTTATCCATTCATCTGTTGATGGACATATAGGCCACTTCCAAGATTTAGCTATTGTGAGTTGTGCTGCTATAAACACAGGTGTGCATGTATCACTATGGTATGATGACTTAACTCTTTTGGGAAGATACCTAGGAGGGGAATATCTGGGTTGAATGGAATTTCTAGTTTTAGTTTTCTGAGGAATCTCTATATTGATTTCCACAATGGTTGTAGTAGTTTACCTTTTCACAACAATAAAGAAGACTTCCTTTTCCTTTCAGCCTTGGCAGCATTTGTTGTTATCTGATTTCTTTTTTTTGCGCTTGTGCAGCAGGCAGCGAAACCACTGAGCTAAATCCCCAGCCTGTTATCTGATTTCTTGATGATAGCCATTCTTTTTGGTATAAGATGAAATCTCAGTGTTGTTTTAATTTGCATTTCTGTAATGGTCAGAGAAGCTGAACATTTTTTTACTTACTTAATGGCTATCTGTATTTCTTCTTCTGAGAAATGTCTATTCATTTCAGTTGCTCATTTTTTGATTGGGTCTTTTATTTTGGGAGGTCTAATTTTTTTCTCTCTATATTTTAGCTATTAGTGCTCTGTCTGAGGAATAGCTGCCAAAACTTTGTTTCCCCTTCTGTAGGTTGTCTCTTCACTCTGGTGATTGCTGATTTGCTGTGCAGAAGCTTTTTAATTTGATATGATCCCATTTGTTGATTCTTGATGATATCTCTTGTGCAATTTGGGTTCTGTTCAGAAAGTCCTCTCCTATGCCTGTCTTCAAGAGTTTTACCTAGTTTATCTTCCAGCAGATTAAGTATTTCTGTTTTAATCTTAGTTTAGTACGTGGTGATTGATATGGGTCTAGATTCAATCTTCTGCATGTAGATAGCCAGTTTTCCTCACATCATTTGTTAAACTATCTCTCCTCCAGCATAAGTGTTTGGCTCCTTTGTCAAAGATCAGGTAGCTGAATGTGCATAAAGTTGTTTTTACATCTTTTACTATGTTCCATTGGTCTACATGTCTGTTGTTTATATCACTGTAACTTTGTAGTATAACTTAAAGTCCAGAATTATGATTCTTCCTGTCTTGCTCTTGTTGCCCAGGATTGCTTTTTGCTATTTTAGGTGTCTTTTGGTTTTATATGAATTTTAGAATTGTTTTCTTTCTCTCTCTCTCTCTCTCTCTCTCTCTCTCAGGGATCAAAATTGGGTCCTTGTGCTTGCGAGGCAGGTGGCGGAACCACTGACCTAAATCCCTGGCCCCCTGTTTTCTCTAGTTCTGCAAGCAATGTTATCGATACTTTGATTGGGATTGTGTTAAGACTGTATAAGAGTTTTGGAAGTATGGACTTTTTGACTATATTGGTTCTGGTTATCCAGGAATAGGGGATATCTTTCTATTTTCTCGTGTCCTCTTCTATCTTCTTTTTTTCAGAGTATTGTAGTTTTTGTTGTATAAGTCTCTCACTTCCTTGGTTAAATTAATTGGTAGGTAATTAATTTTTCTTGATGCTATTGTGAAAAGTATTGTTTCCCTAATTTTTTTCTCAGTGAGTTTATTATTGCTGTACAGAAATGCTATTGATTTTTGTGTTTATTTTTTAAAATAAATTTTATTTTATTTTATCCCATTCCCCCTCATTATATACAAAAGATTTATTTCCATTTTTTCCTTCTATTTTTCACTTTTTTTCCTTGTCTCTTTCTTTCTCCCACCCTCCTGTGTGTTGACTTTGTATCCTCCTACATTGCTGAATTTGGTTATTAATTCTAAGAGTCATTTGGTGGAATTTTTTGGGTCGTCTCTGTAGAGGATCATGTCATCTGCAAATAGTGATAATGTGACTTCTTCTTTTCTTACACATATCCCTTTTATTTCTTTCTTTCTCTTGCCCGATTGGTCTGGTTAATATTTTGACTGACTTTTTTTTTTTTGTACCGGGGATCGAACTCTGGACCTTGAGTTTCTGAGGCAGGCACCGGAACCACTGAGCTAAATCCCCAGCCCTCTGGCTAATATTTTGAGAAGTATATTGAACAGTAATGGTGATAATGAACATCCTTGTCTTATTCCTGATTTTAGATGGAAAGCTTTCAGTTTTTCTCCATTTAATATGATGTTGGCTCTTGGTTTGTCATAAATGGCTTTTATCAGATTGAGATAAGGTCATTAAAAATTTTTTTTTTTTGAGAAAGGTCTTTCTATGTAGTCCAGGCTGGCCTTGAACTCATGGCAATCCTCTTGCCTCAGCTTCCCAAGGTTCTGGGATTATAGGCATGCACCACCACACCTAGCAAGACAAGGACCTTTTATACCTGTTTTTTTTTTTTAAATTATGAATGGATGTTTGATTTCATCAAGGACTTTTTGGACTCCTCAGAATTCTATCCTCATTTGTCTTGGTGGGGTCCAAGAACCCCTTCTTCAAGGCAAAGGGTTTTGTTTTTTTAGGTTAGGTAAACAAACAAAATGAGTAAGAGAAGAGGGAACAGAGAATAAAGAGCATATAGGTTGGGTTAGGTAAAGAAAGGTTTCCAGACAGGTCAGTTTTGAAGCTCAAAGGTGAGTCTGTTTTGGCTTGGATGGAGGAGCTGGGGTGGAGGGAGGGAAATATGCGGAGGGTTTACTCTTGAGACAGAATGAAAAACACAGAAGAGTAACATCACAGCCACACCACCACAGAGCAAGCCTGTGTCTTCTTTATATCTCTTTTGTCACCAAGAATACCAAGCCATTATTCCTGTGAGACTATTATCTACCCTTAAGCTTACACGCAAGGAGACAGAACAAACGTAAAAGACAAAAATCAAATGGCAATGCAAAAAATCTGGCCAGAAGGATCTGGAACATGCCACCTCTCTGGCTCAGAGCTCATGCTGTAAGCCACAGGCTTTCAAAGGTGGGGGTCCCCTTCCTCTGAGGTTTGTGGTGAGGCTCAAAAGTGGAAAGGATCAGGAAGCCAGGTTGATGCATGTGCTTCGGGATCTGTAGGCCTTCGTAGGTCTCAACGACCTTTCCTGTAAAATGGGGATAACGAAGGAGTGTGACACCTGACATACACCACTATTTGCACTGCTCCGGAGACTGGAGAACTTAGCCTTTAGATTGGCAGGTGTGAAAACATCTGAATGAATGAACGAATGAATGCTCTGGACGGGTTCCTCCATGTTGCCCTTACTAAGGCGGTGGGAGGTAATGGACCCCCAGCCATGCTGCTGGTTCTCAGCGTGTGAGTGTGCGTGTGTGAGTCAGGGCCAGGTTTCCGCTGCAGCTCAGCGGAGGCCCAGGCCGAGCTTGCGGGTGTCATTCGCGAGGGTCTCTGCTTGATCTTCCTGGGCCTGACCTCCGCGGGCCCGGGTATAACAGTGACCAGGCGGATGTCGGGATCCCAGCTCTGGAGGAGGGGAGCCCAGGACCCGCCGCATGGGGGACTTGCGGGCGGAAGCGCGATGCTTCCCCTGGGAGGGCGCCCTGGGCCGACCAGGTTGGAGTGGGGGCGACTGCCAAGCACCTTCGGATGCTGTGGTTCCCTTCCAGGCGGCAGTCATCCGCATCCGTGGGAATTTGGGGAGGGGGAGGACAGAGAAGCCGAGCCTCCTCTGCAGACGAAGTGGGAAAGGTGGAAGCGAGCACTACCGGAGCTACTGTCCCCGTTAAGAGACTGGGCTGGCTTGGCCACGGATCCAGCCAACCCGTCCTTGGTGCAGCTCTGCGGACTGCGTTCTGGGACAGAGACCCCAGCCAGGCTACCGGACCGAACGCGGGAGAGGGCGTGGTCCAGTCGGGGAGCGGGGCGGAGCCAGAGCTGCAGCAGCGGGTCTTGCGGCGCAGAAGGAAACGGAGCAGGGATGGGCGGAGCTGCGTTCTGTGGGCGTGGCCCGACGCTGCCGGTGTGGGGGCCTTGAGGGCGGAGCCTGTACTCGGGAACGCCGCAGAGGGTGGACGGATGGGCGGGGACCGGTTCGAGGGAGGGGCTAGGGTCTGCAGTGGGCGGGGCCCGTCGCAGAGGGGCAGCGCCGGCGAGAGTCCTCCGCGCGCGGCTGCCGCGGCCCCTGCACAGCGCCTCTGACAGCGCCGGCGGTGGGTTCTAAGACCCTTCTAGCCTCTAGCTGCCCCGCGGCCTCCTCTGCATCCCAGGAGCGGCCGTGTTTCCTCCCTCTCCTCAGCGCCGGCGTCCCGGGACCGTCCGGCCCGCTGCTGCTGCGGAGGCCGCATCTGGCGCGCATCTGGAGCCTCCGTCCGGCTGCGCTGGAGCCTGCCCCCTCCCTGGCCCGGCCGCGCCGGGAGCCCTGCCCGGAGCTGGAGCCGCATCTGGAGCCGCGGGCCCGGGGCCCTGAGCCGCGCAGCCGGCGCATGGTGAACTCGCTACTCTTCGGGGAGATGGCCTTGGCCTTCGGCTGCCCGCCCGGAGGCGGCGGCGGCGGCGGCGGCGGGTGTCCTGGGGGTGGTGGCGGCGGCGGCGGGGCTGGGCCAGGGCCGTCTCCGGTGACTGCGGCGCTGCGGGACGACCTGGGCTCCAACATCCACCTCCTGAAAGGGCTCAACGTGCGCTTCCGCTGCTTCCTGGCCAAGGTGCACGAGCTGGAGCGGCGCAATCGGCTGCTGGAGAAGCAGCTGGAGCAGCAGCAGAGCGAGCGCGACCGGCGGCTCCGCTACAAGACCTTCTCCCGCGAGCAGGCCGTACAGACTGGGCCCGAGCTGCTGCGGCCCCCGGCGCCCGGAGCCAACGCCAACGCCAACGCCGCGGCCCTGGGCGGCCTGCCCCCCGCCGGCGGCTCGCAGCCGCAGCACTACGGTCGCCTGCCCGGCACCATCTGGAGCTACACGCAGGTGCGGCGCACGGGCGGCGGCGGCGTGGAGACCGTGCAGGGCCCCGGCGTGTCGTGGGTGCACCCGGACGGCGTGGGCGTGCAGATCGACACCATCACGCCGGAGATACGCGCGCTCTACAATGTGTTGGCCAAGGTGAAGCGGGAGCGCGACGAATACAAACGGAGGTGAGTGGAGCCTCCCCTCCCCCGCCACGCCCTGGAGGGGGCGCCCAGGTTCGGCGTGTGTGTACGCGGGAGGACGGAGAGAGGAGGGCCGCCCGGCAGGTGGGCTGCAAGCTGGGTTTGCAGAGCGCCCTGCACGCTCTAGGGAGACTCGGTTACCTAGATCCCGGCCGAGAACGGGCAGGCGCTGACTACGGTGGGGAGATCCCGGCGGCTCCGTCACTGGTTGGGATACATTCTTTCCTAAAGGACGTAATATCCAGCGGTGTATATGATCTCATTTCATCCTCACTACAGTGCAGTGTGAGGCAGTGTCATCCCATTTTGCAGAGGAGGAAACTGAGGGGCAGAGATTCAAAGTAACTTGCCCAGAGCGGCTTGCCCAATATACTGTGAAATTAGGATTTGACTATTTCCCCAAAGATGCGGGAGATAGGCTCCCCTTCCTCAGTGAGTAAAAAGAAAAAAAAAGTCTTGAGCATCCCATTGCCTTTTTATTCCTCGAATTAAATAAGATCATGTGTGGGGCAGTGCATGGATCTGTCCCTATCCCCTTGGGCCAGGGACAGCTACTCCAGTTCAGAACTCCAGTTCTGAAAGGCCCAGCTATCTGGCCTGGAGAGCCAAAACTACAGCAGGCTGGCTACAAGCTTCTGAAAATGCCTATTCTTCTCCACATGCCCCAAGTCTCATGGTTTACTGAGCCCCAGTGAAGTCAGCCCTGGAGACCCCCAAGAGGAAGTAACCTTGGGTGGGAAGACACTGGATGGACCCAGACCACAGACTCTAGCTGGAGCTGGGGTCACACTTCCCGGAGGACTGGTTAGTGTGTTCCTGCCCAACCCAGATTCCCTGGCTGGGAAAGTGACTGCTTGCCTGCAGGCTGGCTAAGGATGCTGATGTCTGCTCTGTTTTTGCACAAGAGGAGGGGGTCTGTCTGTACTGTCTCAGGCCTGCGTGGGAGAGGACCCCCTGGGCCAAGGGCTGCTGTCAACTCTGCATTTGGAGCCATGGCTCTGAACCAAGAAGGACTTTTTAATTTTCATCCCTAAAATCTGCCCAGGGAGCTTGGTGTGGGCTTCCTTCCCTTGTCCCAGTAGCAGCTAGGAAAGATTCAGATGCTAACTCCATCTCCTGCTGGAGAGATTGTCAAGCCACTGGCAAGCCTGTTTCCTCATCAGAGAAATGGGAATAGTAAAATCCACGCACAGTTGCTTAAGGGGAGAGTAAGAGCTAATGGTTTTCACCAGGCATAAGATAATCAAGTGGATGTTATTAACCGTGATCGGCACTTTGTCCAGCTAGCAGAGAGCAGAAATGGCTGGAGCTGCTGGTCTGGTCTCCCACGTATGGCATAGCTTTCTGGGGGATGAGCTTCTCCCCTGGAGAACTTTGCTCTCAGGAGGGTTTAAGAATGGCCTGGTGCCCTTTGTAGGGAGGCTACTACTGTGCCTTTGGTGGTCAACCTTACCAGGTCCATCCAGGGAAAGAGGCAACTGCTCTTTTTTGTACTGGGGATTGAACTCAGGACCTTGTGCTTTTGAGGCAGGCTCAGTGCCACTGAGCTAAATCCCTGGCCCGAGAGGCAATTGCTTTTAATGGTGAAACTCAGAGAGGGGAGGGGTGAACCCTCACGCCTGCCACTGTTGACTGTGTCGTCATGCCACAGGCTTGCATGGTGTTTGTTTTACTGTGTGTGTGTTTTTTGGGCCTGGCTACTAAGGAGATAGGACGACCATGCCCAGTGTCAGAGTGAGGTGGGTTGGCGCTGAGAAATGATCTGTCCAAGTTGCACCCAGGGTGTGGGGTGTGATATCAGCTTTTGACACTGGCCCGCAATGCGCCGGTGTTGCTGAGACAGGTGAAGTGTGGGCATCCTTCTTTCTTTTTCCCTTTCTGGGGCGTATGCACACTTCTTCCTCTTTTTTTTGTGAATTGCAAAGATCCATCTTTTCTGAATTTGATTAAGGGCTTACACTGAATTTTTCCAAAGCAAGTATCTTTGGGCTAGAACTCTTCTTCTTGAAGTTCTAAACTTCCTCAGTGGTGCTTTTGGGGTTCCTTAAATATTTCTTAAAAATTATTATTTAAAATATGTTTAGATGGTAATACAGTCATAAGAATGTTCCCACTCATTTTTAAGTTCTTAATGTTGTCTTATTGGAGTCCAGCATACAACTTGCTAACTATTAATGTGCTAACTTGTTTATAGTTGTCTGTGAATTAAAGTGTCTTGCTCCCTTTCTCTGTTTGTCTAAAGAGTATTCCCAGACTGCTATGCAAGCTGCTTAAAATGATTCCCATCCCTGTAGCTACTTATCTGTGTGTGGTAAGATCTTTTTCATGCTCGGCAGCTGAAACTGGGGATAGAGGTAACCTGAATATGGAACTGTCACCCACAGTGCCCATCTTCAGTGTTAATGTATCGCAAGAGCCTCATCAATTGTGTTGACTGAATTTAGCATGGTAGTGAAAGGTACTTGAGCTTACAATATAAATTTACACATAACATTCTGTTTTTTTCTTATAATGTACTATGTTGAAGTTTCTTACATTATTTTTATTTTGGAGGAAGGTGAACATACAGTGACCTTTAAAGAAAGTGTAAGAACCACTTGACTACACAATTTCAAAGGGTCTTACCAGCTTCAACAATATAGAAATCTGAGTTTGAGCTCTTTGCCCACCTCTAATCCTCTTCCCATAAGAGAAGTCATGGGTAGAGAGATGAGACTAAGGTGTTTGCCTGGACTGTTGGCCACTGGAAATGTCAGGTCCTCCCAGGGTGCCTAGCATGGACCCCAAGAAGAGTCCAATGAATGGCCACTGGCCAGGGAAGGAAAAGCCTGCAGGGTTTCCTGCCGTCACCTGTAGCAACTCACAGCCTCGGAGCTTCCCTCTTGTCTCCCTAACAACCTAGCACATGTAGCTCAGTGTTCTTTAAGCTGGAGGTTTTTTGAGTCCTATATCCATGACTTGTGGCCCTATTCTGTACTCTACCTGCACTGCTACTTATATGAAATAATTTCATAACTTTGCTGAGGCATAATTTGCCTATCATAAAATCCACCTGTTTTAAGTATATCAGTGATCTTTAGAAAATTCACAGTTGTGCGGCCATCACCACAATCCAGTTTTAGAACATGTGCATCCCCCAAAAAGATCCTCCATGCCCATTTTCTGGGAGTTCTCATCCTCACCCGGCCCCGGCAGTCACTGATCTACTATGTTTCTATGGATTTGCCTTTCCTGGACATTTCATATAAATGGAATTATGTACTATGTAGTGTGGCAAGATCTTTCACTTAAGTCATGTTTTTGAGCTTTATTTGTTGTGTAGCATGTAGGATGTTCCTTTTTTTTTTTTGGTACTGGGGATCGAACTCAGGACTTTGCTCTTTTGAGGCAGGGGGTGGAACCACTGAGCTAAATCCCCAGCTGGGATGTTCCTTTTTATTGCTAATGAATACTGTATAGATGACTGCACTTTGTTTATTTATTTGCCAAATGTATTTTAAATGTTAAAAATCACCGTGTACCACCTAATATCATCTCATGTGCCATTGGTGGTACACAAACCATGTTTTGGAAACACTGACCGGGACCAGAGCTCCTGGCTGGGGTATCCCAGCACTGGCCCTGCTCACCGCTTCTTTGGTTTCCCCTCGGCCCAGTAGCTCTTTACCACGTGGGAAATGTGGTCACTGAAACTGTATAGAGGACAAGGTTGTCAAGCGTTGATTTGGAAACCAAAACAAACATTTCACTGTGTCACCACCCAGTGCCACCAAAATATCCTGTTCTGAGTCTGCAAGCTGGGTGCTTTCCCTGGGAGGTTCCTGCTGAATCTGTCTGAACTCTAAACAGGTGGATAGCTCTTGGAATTGGTATGCAGGAGACCTGGACTCCAGGTCCTGCTCTGCCACTGTGTGCTGTGTGACCTCCAGCCAATTGCTAGGCTTCTCTGAGCCTCAGGTCCTCCACCTTTACATGGCAGGATTGCTTTGGGTGATCCCATCAGCTTGTTCTGTACTTCAGGTCTGTGATGAAGTGGTCTAGATCATGGCTCATCTTTTTGCCTCATGAGACAACGTGGTGTTTGCTGTGGTCTCTCTCTGTTCTGGGCCTCCCTGTCCTCCTTGCTCTTCCAGGGTCCAGATTAGGGGCATGGGAAGTACTGCCTAGCCCATCACCAGGCTGCACGGTTTGGATAATTTCCTTTCTCTTCACTGACTGGGAAAGGAAGCTGGCATACTTAGGGGGTGTCAAGAAAAAAATTCCCTGTAGCCTGGTGGTGAGGAAGCTGCCCAGGGCTGGTAGTGCTGGTATAGCTACCTTCTGGGCAGGGTGCCTTCTGGGCAACGTGGTGCCCCTGGTCCAAAGCCTCTGTGGCCCTCCTGGACTTCCAGGCCCAGTGTGATTTGGAGCTGGCTGGCTTTGTTCCCTCCCATGCCGATGGCTAGATTTGTTTTCCCTTGGTGCCTGGGGTGATTGGAGGGTGGTCTGAGAGTCCAGAGGGGTGTGATGATTTTTAGATTGGCCCCTCAGAGCCCTTGGGGCCATAGCAGGGACAGTGAGAACCTGGGATCTGACCCACATCAACCCCAGCAGCTGTTTCTCTTGGACTCCCATGAGGTAGCTCAAGGAAGTTTCACTTTGAAAACAGCGGATTCAGCTGTGCACTTTTATTTTAGACCTGGGGAAACTGAGGCCCAGAGGGCGCTGACCCACCCAGCCCACCACTCCAATGTGTTGCCCACATCACTGGCTGCAGTCGGGCTTAGCAGAACTTGCTCTGCTTTGCTCTATGTCTGTTTTAAACATTTCTTTAAAAGCCTCTTTCTGAGATGGGAGGGACTTTTGTCACAGCTATTTCTGCCTATGAGCCGGAAGGGGCTGGGCTGTCAGCCAGAATGGAGGTTTCCAAAAAGGGATGGTGGGTGGGTCAGCTGGAGTGTCCCCTGCCTTTCCCATCATGTCACACCCCCTGGAGGCCCTCAAGC